AGCCACTGGGTCCAGGACTTGAACTGTGGTCAACCTCATGGGAGTCCAGTGACATAGCCATTACGCTAACTGCTGGTCCCTAGGAGTCCCACTTCTTGAGGTACCCTCTCACCCCTAATTCACTCTGTGTGTCTCTGCCCATCAGTGGCCCTGTGAATGGGTATCTGTGAAAGGTTCCTGAGTGTTAGACAAGTCACAGTGAAGACAGGCAGAGGGGATGCGGGAAAGGCCTACAGTACCCATGCTGTGTGGACACCCTACCACCAAGCCATTGTGTTGTAGCAGCTGACTGGCCTAGGTCCACCACTGCACTTACTATATTTTATTATTAGACGTGCACGGGTTAACCCTTTAAAGAACACAGGACATGCCATTTAATGCCAAAGGAAAAGGCAAAGCTTAAGGGGGAGAAGCCAGAAATCTTTTTGCAGCCTGTGCCTATTTTTTTTTTTTAAAGTTTTTTGCCATAGGATGCATGCACTTGCTGGAAAGAGAGAGAGACAGTGGGAGAGAAAGTGAGAAATCACCCCACAAGTTGGATGGCCATGCTGTGATTCTTTCTCCATTCTCCTTGGGGTTTTTTTGGATATGTACACACTCATGCCTGGCATGATTTTCAAGCTGCCAGGTCCAGGATTTAAACTGTGGTCAGCCATGGGTAGTCCAGTACCTTAACCACCATACTACTGCTGGCCCCGCCTTTTTTTTTTTTTTTTTTTAATTTGCTAGAGGGCATGTGTACTCACCAGAGAGAGAGAGAGAGAGAAAGAGAGAGTGGAAGAAAGCACCCCTTAATGGGACATGATCATGCTGTAGTCCCTTCTCCATTTTTCCATTCTGTTGAGATTTGGGGCGTACGTGTACACATGCCCAGCATGTTTTCCAAGCCTCCAGGACTGGGACTCGAACTGTATGGTCAGCCTTATGGGAGCTTGCTCCCTTAACCTCTGGGCCACAGCGTCAGCTCACAGCCTGTGTCTTTGTTTCCATTGTATTTCAGGGGACCTGGGTGCTTCACCCAGCATTGGAGACTCTGCTTCAGAACTTGAGCTCAGTGGGCTCTCTCTCTAAAGTTACTTCTTTCTTTCGAGTTCTTGAGTTCTCCCTACTAAAGGATTCATGAGGATTCTATTAGATACTTTCTAAAGTGTGCAAGTTTAAACTTTGTTTTGTTTATTTCTCTCAGAGAAATGGAAGGTGAGCTTGAAGTCGTTTGGGAGTCTACCTTCAAAGAAAACCAAAGACTCCGAGAACTTCTCCAGACCACAACGGAAAGGACAGAGCCTTCGAGGACCCCTGCCTCCATGGCATCTCTCAGAGAGACCTGCTGGATGACTGCAGTTTCAGCCACTGCAACATGAAGCCTCCTGCCCACCAGAGTCTGTGTGAGCCCCTGGGGTAGGCTCACCAGTCTGAAAGGCCTGTCTTTCACAGGCTGGGAAAAAGAGTGCCTCTCCCCAGGGAAGAGCCAGCAGTGGCAGGGGTGCACACAGAAGCCCAGAGCGCTGCAAGGCAAGAAAAAATAAACTATTTCAGAAACTGAATTTATTTTTAACATTTTGCATTTCTTTCCTTTTTTTCTTTTTTTTTTTTTCTTTTTCCTTTTCTTTTTTTTTAACCAAAGGGCACATGCACTTGCCAGAGAAAGAAAAAGGATGACACAGAGAGAAGGATGGTCATGCTGCAGGCCTTTCTCCATTTCTCCTTCAGCATCTGGGCATCACATGCTCAGTGCATCTTTCTCTTTTATTTTCTATTCCTTTTTAAATAATTCACATTTAATCACTGTACATCTTTATAGTGTACAAAAATGTTTTTCCCCAACATTAATATAGTTCATATGAGGTCACAAATATTACCATGTACATTGTCATCAACAGATACCTTTTCACTTCTGTGTCTCTTAAATGCTTCTATTTAAGCTGCCGGGTCGAGGACTCGAACTGTACAGTCAGCCACATGGGACCCAGCCAGCTTAACCAACATACCACTGGCTGGCCCACATTTTGCTGTATTTCAATAACGTGTTGTTAAAATATTTTTTAGCCAGTGTACCTCCTCTGACTGCATTGCCACTGAGCTTGGCTCTGTGACACCCATTGCTCAGGTTAGCAGGTGACCTGTCCGCTCCAGATCTGCAGCTGGGAACGCACTGGAGGGTACAGGCAGTGGAACAGAACTCATCCTGAGTGTCAGATGAGTCTGTGTGAACGATGAGCCCACTGGTGGACGCAGCAGCAATGACAGCTATGCGTTAGCCCTGGGGGGTGCAGGGGGCTCTCTCGTTCGATTAAAATCAGAAAGTGGTGCTGGACTAGCCCTATATGGGTTTAAATTCCTCCCCAAGTGGCTTGAAAACCACCAGGCACATGTGTGCCTGCCCTAAACCCTAACAGGATGGAGAAATGGAAGAAGAGGATGGCGGCGTCACTGTGCCTCATTGGGGGGAGCTTTTGCTCCCTCTTCTCTCTCCCTGGCAAGTGTATGTACCCTCTGGCAGTAAAAAAGAAAAGTAAAAAGAAATACGGTGCTGGCGCTCATGCCTGGAGAGCTCTGCAGAGCCTGCTCTGCCTTCTCCCCGACCCTTCTCTCCTGGGAAGGTAATTGGCCCTGGGGCCATGTAGCTCCTGCCCTCTTTGAGAGTCCCAGCTTTGAGCACCAAGGCTGCTGAGGCTGCGTCCCTGCCCCACTGCCACCGTCAAGGAAGATACCAAGGCCCAGGGTCTCTTCTCCTGCCGCCTGCTCAGGGAGATGATCATACCTCACAGGACCATACACAGGGACTTCCTGGTGGAAATGCCAGCTTCCAGGGCCACGTGATCCAGGCATGCAGGAAGAACTCAAGCACACCAGGCCACAAAGGACCTCAAACCATGGGATCCTAGAAGACATCCTTTTGCAAAACCCCTCCCAGCCTGGTCCTGTGTTGTCGCAGGTATGAAGGAGACCCCAGAACTGGTCCTCGGTCATATATAGAAGTTAGACACGTGATCTTGGCTAGATGGGAACGTGAGGTAGGAAATCATTTTCTTTTATATTTTATTCCGCTTGTTCAACAGTTCAACCTTTCTCATTTTATTTATAAGGGGTGGAAAGACTCAGCTGGACTTAAACTGTCTGTTCTCCCCCTACATGACCTAGTGAATAACTCTGATGTTATTTCAAAGGAATTTACTCCAACCGTCCAGTAATCTGCAGGCAGTCTCAGAGGTGGTGGCACCCAGTGGGTCCCCTGCTCAAGGGTGGCTTGTCAGTGGGAACGCTGCTGTTGTCGTCATTACCCAGAGAACCACGTGGACATCTCTGTCTTTTTCTGCCATTTATGAGAGAATTTAATTCCCTTGAGAAGTGAACATTCTTACATCTGTGGAAGTTCGGTGGCCCCTGGACCACCTGGTGACCAGGGCAAGGGCAGGGGTCCTGCAGCCTGGGTCTGTGCCCAGCCTCCCACTGAGCACGGCAAGAAATGGGTCAGGCAAGCTGAGAGTCCAGGATGCAAAGGAAGCCAAGGCAGGAAGGAGGAGAGACGAGGCAGCCGAGAGGCTCACAGAACTGTGAAGTTTCAGGGCCATTTGAGCACTTCTTGGAGGGGCTGGGATGCCCTGGGCTTTGCAGATGGAAAGGGTTGCAGGAGCAGAGGGCAGAGAGGGCCGTTATGAGCGGAGGCCAGAACTCGGGAGCAGTAGGAGGGGGTTTCTGGCTAGAGGTCTGGGTGGGAAGGGAGGCCAGACTGGGCCGAGGAGAGAATGCAGAGTGCTGGGAGGGGCTCCTGCTCTCCCCTGGTCCTGGTGACGTTTGTACAGCACTGGAAAGTTCCTACTTGGGTCAAAGTAATCAGCGTCAACAGCCTCAAAACTTGACACAGGAGCCAGGCTGGCATTGGCCGCATTTAAAAGTAGCCCTGGGGAACCGGGACTGTGGGGAGAACAGGCCAGGGCATGAGTGTATACCAGGATGCTGAGTTTATGGTGAGAACTGTCTCCAGTTTGCAGGGTGACCTGGAAGCAGTGGGATCATAAGCGGCAATGACTTAGCCCCTAACCTCTGAGAAGGAGGGAGACCCCACGCTGCTCCATCTTGATTCTGTGTAGAGCATGTCACTTGTAAGGAGAGAGAGGGAAATCTGAATCGGCTCGATTTCCGTGTCGGCTTATTTATTCGGCACACGTCCATTGGGTGCTGATCAAGATGCACTGTTCTAGAAGCTGGGAACAGCAGCAGTGAGGGAGGCAGGCGTGGTCACAGATGTGCTAGGTGCTGGGGCCGGGCCGCAGAGGAGGACGCAGGGCAAGCAGTGCCCTCCGTGTGGTCACAGGAAAACTTGCGTGTGTGCTGGGACTCGTGTAGGTGACTGCCTTTTCAACTACAAACTTGACGAAGTTTCCAATACAGATCAAGTATACTGACGAAACGCTAGCGCCCAATTTGAGATGTGCCTAAGTATAAAATGTTTATCAGATTTTAAAGACTTAGTGTCTTAAAAATCTTTTCAAAAATAATTTTTATACTGGTTCTATGTTGAGATAACACCGTATATATATATTGAATTAAACAAAATATGTTATTAAAGTGTTTTCTTTTTTTTGCTTTATAAAAAAGTGTGGCTTTGATTCCATGTGTGACTTAACTATATTTCTCTATGGGCAGTGTATTCAAACCCAAGTGTGGAATATAAAAGAAGTTTCTAGAAAATAATCCACTTTGGATCAGGGAAGGATTTCTTGAACAAGACACTGAAAGCACTAACCATAGAGGAAAAGAAAGAAATCTGACTACATCAAAATTAAGAGCTCTTTAAATCTAGGCTGGGTGCCACAGTGGTAATGCAGCCAGACCCACATAGGAAAAGCCCTGACTGGCTGAAACTCACACTGGGCACCTGTGCGTATGTGCCCAAGATCCTGAGAGGAGAATGAAGGAGAAGGGATTATGGTGTGGCCATCCCCCCTGGGGGGTGATTTCTCGGTTTCTCTCTGTCTCTCTCTATCTTCTGGCAAGCTCACAAGCCCTGTAGTGAAGAAAACAAAAAACAAAACTCCAGAAAAAAAATTAAGAGCTCTTTAAATCAAGGCTGGGTGCCACATAGTGGTAATGCAGCCAGACCCACATAGGAAAAGCCCTGACTGGCTGAAACTCACACTGGGCATGTGTGCATGCATGCCCAAGGTCCTGAGAGGAGAATGGAGAAGGGACTGTAGCATGGCCATCCCCCCTGGGGGGTGATTTCTCGGTTTCTGTCTCTCTGTCTCTCTCTGTCTTCCTGGTGAGTGCACATGCCCTATAGCAAAAATCTCTCTTTAAAAAAAAAAAAAAAAAAAAAAGAGCAACCCTCAAAGGCCCTGGTAATGGCCTCCTCAAGCCATGTGGTCAGTGCCTAGACATTAATTGTTGGGGTTTTTTTTAGAGGTTTTTGCTATAGGGCACATGCGCTCACCAGACAGACAGAGACAGCGAGATAGAAAGCAAGAAATCAACCCCCAGGAGGGAGGACCATGCCGCAATCCCTTCTCCTCCAGTCTCCTCTCGGGATCTTGGGCATGCACACACACGTACCTGGTGTGAGTTTAAGCCAGGACGCTAACCGCAGTCAACTACATGGGAGTCCAGCAATATAGCCATTACGCTAACTGCTGGTTCCAACATTTATTGTTTTTACAACATAAAGAGCCAGCCACATGGCCTATTGGTTAAAGGACCCCGGCTCCCATCACATATGGGTGACCACCGTGAGTCCTAGACTTGGTGGATTGAGAAACGTGCTGAATGAGTGTGCGTGCATGCCCAAAGATACTGACAGCATGGAGAAATGGAAGAGGAGGGATTGTGGTGTGACCATGCCCCATGAGTTCCTCTCCCTCTCTGACTGACTCTAGAAGCACATGCATCCTCTGCCAAAAAAAAAAAAAAAAGATATTTTGGGCCTGCCCATGCTCTGATGGTTAAGAGAGCTGGATCCCACATGACCCAACTGCACGATTCAAGTCCCAGAGCCAGCAGCTTGGAAAATGCAGAGTGTGTATTTGTGTGTGCCCAAAAGAATTCTGAAAAAGAGAAATGGAGGGACCAGCAGTTGGCATAATGGCTATATCGCTGAACTCCCATGTAGTCGACTGCGGTTCGAGTCCCGGACCCGGTGGCTTAAACTCATGCCAGGCACATGTGCGTGCGTGCCCAAGATCCTGAGAGGAGAGTGGAGGAGAAGGGATTGCGGCGTGGCCATCCCCCTGGGGGGTGATTTCTTGCTTTCTGTCTCTCTTTCTGATGAGCACATGTGCCCTATAGCAAAAACCTCTCAAAAAAAAAAAAGAAATGGAGAAGGGATTACACTGTGACCATTCCCCATGGCACATGCTGTTTCCCTCACCCTGTGTCTCTCTGTTTCTGAAAATTGGCACATGCCCTCTGGCAAATAAAAAGGGGGGGGGGTCAGATAGCACCATGGTAACACAACTGGACCCATGTGGGAAAGTCCTGGGTTCATGTCCTAGGATCCCCTGGGCATGCACAAGCCTGTGATCCTGGCTGGCAGAATCTGGGCTTGGATTGTGGTATGGAGACCCTGTTGAGAGTCTCCATCTCTCTCTCACTTTTTTTCT